GGTTTCCTTGGTTTCGACTTTCGACTCCGGTAGGCTGCTTACCTCCGTTTTGTTGTTGGAGTCAGCAGTGACCAAAAGGCAAGCTCTTGCCGCTGATCTCCTTTCTGGTAAGTCAATTGAGACGGGAAAATCCTGTGCTGGCCAATCCTCTGTAAAACACAACCACGTGGGTCCGTACCACCAAAGGTCATTTCCCTCCAGCACATCGGGTGTTGCTCCTCTAGATAAGACGTCGCGTCGGCTGGATTCTGTTTTGAAGGCACATGCCTCCAAGTGGCATGACTGGTTAAACGTTGTACCTCTGCGACTCTATTAGCTACAAAGGTTTGCAGTGTACTGGATTCCGAACCGATCCAGCAGAGAGTAATCGTCGATACACTCCACAAATGTATTTCCTCGATCTTGTTCCCAAGCGCCCGTTCGATGGTTGATACGAGTTGCGCCAACAAAACTGCCGCGCAAAGCTCGAATCGAGGCGTCGTCATTGTCTTCAATGGCGCCATTTTTTATTTGGAGCATAAAGGTGCCTTTTCACGCGTCGCTCGTCGCTGGATTTCTCGGTACATGATTGGCCGTCATTACTTTTGTCGCTGGTAACTCTGTTGATCTATGAAAAGCGTTCAAGCGATATTTTGTAACCTCAAAGTTGTGAAATATTTATATCTTGAAAGGTGTTTAGTGAAAGGTGAATTTCAAAATTTAGTTTAATCTGTTATTGATAATTATTATATTCGATTTTTGGAAAATTTTGAATTTTGTGAAAGTATTTAGTTTTTGAGAAGTAAAAATTAAAGAAGTTATTAATTTCATTTTCTTTAAAATTATACAGGTGCAAGAAAAACAATCTGTAATGCTAGCTTACAAATATCAAACTTGGGTTCATCAATACAAAACAGCCTTGATAATGAATAGAAAGAAAAGAGAAAATAAACGCAAGAAAGTGCTTGCTGCTGTTGCACTACACGAAATATTGAAAAAAGAAAGAACGTATCAGCCTAAACGTTTTTGGATCGACCCATTATTTCATGAACGTCATACTCATGGATTTTATCATGCCTTATATCCAGTCATTTCATTAAATGAAGCTCGATTCAGAAATTATTTCAGGATGACTGCAACACAATTTGAGCAACTACTGGAAATGGTCGGTCCTATTATTACAAAACAAACTGTTATTCGTGAACCGATTTCAGCGGAAGAACGTTTGTCATTAACTCTGAGGTATGTAAAAATGTACAATAAATTTTGGTAACAAAATTAGTTTTCTGCACTCAAGTTTTATAACAAAATCAGTATTCTGCATAATTATATACATGTTAATATCAATTTTTTCTTTCAGATTCTTGGCATCAGGGGATTCAATGACTTCAATGTCGTATCAATATTTGATTGGTTTGACAACTGTCACTAATATAATCGATGAAACGTGTGAAGCAATTTGGAATTGCCTGCGAGAGATTGTGCTCAAAGAGTCTATAGAAACTGATGAATGGCATAGAATCGCTCACGATTTTGAAAATACTTGGAATTTTGCACATTGTATTGGAGCGATCGATGGAAAACATGTTATGATACAGGTTGAAAATTTTTTTATCCAAATGTATCGGAAAAATAACTGTTTTCTAACATTGAGTTTGTAAAGTTGGTTATTTTACTAAATTCTTTTATGTTTTTAGTGCCCTAATAATGCCGGTTCGCTGCATTTTAATTACAAACACTGGAACAGCATAGTATTGCTTGGAATCTGCAACGCTAATTACATTTTTACGTTCGTTGATATTGGAGCTTACGGCCGACGTAGTGATGGGGGAATTTTCAGGGATTCTGTGATGGGACATTTATTTGAAAAGAAAAATATGAATTTACCCGAGTCAGAGCCAATTTCACCCGGCGGAAAGTCTTTGCCCTACATTCTCGTAGGAGATGAAGCATTCCAGTTGGCAGAATATTTACTGCGCCCATACCCTGGAAAAGATTTGAACCCCGAACGTAGAATATTCAACTATCGATTGAGTCGTGCTAGGAGAACAATAGAGAACACTTTTGGGATTCTAGTCAGCAGATGGAGAATATTAAAACGACCTATAATTTGCAATGTCAAAAAAACAATAAAAATAGTTCAAGCCATTGTGTGTCTCCATAATTGGCTTCGTATTGCAGACATCGATGAAAATCAGTATGTTCCTCCCTCTATGGTAGATCAGTATACCTCAGATGGCGAGATTCCTGGTTCGTGGAGGAATCTTATAGAAGGTAGTGCATTGCACGACATAGGTAAATTTGGTTCAAATAATAGCACTCGTCAAGCGCAGGCTATTCGAGATGAATTTTGCAACTATTTTTATGGCGAAGGAGCAATTCCCTGGCAGTTTAATTGTTTGTAAAATAAATGGTATTAAAAAAATTGCATATAAAACTATATTTCACATATTCGATGTACTTCTTATATATTCATATAATTTAATTATATATTTTAATATTTACATACACAATTATTATGTATTATTATTATCTATCGGAATAAAATGTTTTAATTGAAAAAGTTTTATAATAATAAATGAATTTTCAAAATGATGGGAACTCACTTGGGGTTTTCAGACAGAACATCATGTGATGCTGATTCACAAAGTTTAGAAAGCAAATGGGTCGTGAATTAATTCCATGTCAAGAAAAAAATGAAAGAAAAATCATAAAATTCACGATTCCGGAAAATATATACTCAAGCAATGTAAAAAATACTCTAGATCGTTCTTCTCGATTTGTACCAATTGTACAACTCCTCAATGTTACTTTAATGTAGTTCTGAAATAATAATTATCGACGTCGATGATAATAACAAAAGTTTATTGCACATAGCTTTCATTTTCCAGTCCTTTTTTAGTCATTTTACAATTAAACATTATTATTTTTTAATTATTTTCTGTCATTCAACTTTACATTAATAAAATATCTTTATTGCAAATTTTTGTACTTAAAATAACGCTTATTAATAGTCAGAATTATTGATTGCATCAACAACAAGATTTAATAAATCTCTCATGACATTACGACGATGTCGAGCAGGTAATTCCCTTAATTGGTACCCGAGAGTGGCTGTAAATGAGTCAATTTCATCAGGCATCGGTGGCGGAGGCGGCAAAACAAGTTCATTAGATGGATTGTCGCATAAGGCATCTGCGATTCTGTTTAGGACATCGCTGTTCTCTGACTTGACTCTTTTTCTTATGAGTGGGACAGGCACATCGTTTTCGTCAATTTCTCCATCCTTATTTGCCGAATTCGTTTTTGATAAGCGCGCATTTGTTGATGTACTGTAAGAAACAAAGAGTTTATTATTGCTGTGATAATGTTTCATTTGTACTGTATGAAAATAACGCACTGTTTAGCTAAGCATGACTCTCGCATGAACTGCATGGAGTGATAATGAACCCATTGGCTAGCTTTATTTGTCCTTCCTGAACCGCTCGGTAAAACTTCGGCTTGGGCTATGCGACGAAAAGTGTCGACTAAATTTTTGAATTTGTTCTTTGCCTCGTCAGCTGTGAAGCCCTCCGCGCTGAAACTATCAGCTACTTCTTGCCAATATTTTTTAATTGCAGCTGGCGCACGCTGCTCCAGTGGTAGGGATAAATTCCACAATGGTTCGCGAATGTAAACTTCATTAATGAGCAATTCCTGAAGATCCGTATTCCATGAAATTTTTCCTTTTTCATTATTTTTTACGGGCCGTTTGCTACTTTGCGCCGCTGTAACTTTGCTGTCTGTTATCAAAATTATTATTGAGAGAATGGCCTGTTGCTCACAGGACGCGTTGACGCGTTACGCGTGAAAAGATAGTCAATGAGACTCCTGCCTTTCCGGAAAAGCAAAAGTCTCATAGGTTATCTTGTCACGCCGCGTGACGCGTCAACGCGTCCTGTGAGCAACAGGCCAATGATGACATTTCTTGAATATTTACTTACTCGTATTCACCAGCAAAGTTTTACTGCAACTAGGCGCGGAGTTGATTTTATTTTGGACATCTTTGACTATTGTTAATCCGTCATCTGAAAACATTATTTTAAATAATTTTTTTCAAAAATTGTCAAAACCGGCCATAATAACTATTTTATTATTTTACCTTTGACAGGAAACACATACGGTGACTCTTTTTCACATAAGAAATTTGTATATCCAGCCATACATGAATGAGAAGCAATTTTATTAAAATTGCATTCGCTTTTGCATAAGCCGCACAATACAATTTTTGGCACTACTGTAGTCTAAAAAGCATTAAAAATTACATTTTCATTCAAAACAATTTAATCAATAAAAATTGACAAGTAACAAAAAGTGAGGTTAAACACAGAAGAGATTATCCAAACGATTGTATTTTACATTATTTCTCCAAATTATAATAATTAAACTTTGCTATTTATTAAATTTATTTATTACCTACCTGATTAGTTGCCATTGCGAGAAACTCTTTAAAATTTTATGTTATATATGTATCCTCTTGTCGCTAGCGACGAAAAGACGAAGTTAAAATAATTTAACGTACCACGTGACACGTCCATCGCTAGCGACTAGCGACGTATGAAATTGCACCTTAAAAATCTCGACTGTATCGCGTTTCCTGATCCTTGGCTGATTATGTAAACACATGCGCCGTACCCTTTCTCGGACGCATCGCAAAACCCGTGTATCGTAACCTTCAGCGTCGGGTTTCGAGGGTTTACATTTCGTCGAATCTTCCAGGCCTTGACTTGCTCCACAGCGTGGCGAAACGTTCTCCATTCTAGCTTCAGTGTCTCCGGTACTTCTTCGTCCCACCCACCATTTCCGAAAAGGGAATTGAGCACTCATTAGTATGTCCGACAAGTCCCCTTGTAACTTCATAGCTTCTTCTTTGGTCTTGGTACCCGTCAGCAAATCATCCATGTAAAAATCCTTTTCTATAACTTGGTTGAGCTTCCAAAGCTCCTGTAAATGTTGTTTAGCGATCATTACCAGAGGCCCGATTATGCCAAGGGGATCATAAATATGAGCAATAGCGGACAAGATACTTCTTTACAAGTGACCTTTTCCTCCTTTGGCAGTCTCACGTTGTATTGTAGGACATCTTCGTTGCTATTCCACAAAAGTCCAAGCGTTTTAGTACTTCCTTGTATGTCAAGCACCAACAGCTCGTCTGTTTTACCTAAATCGCTGATGCGACTCAGAATCTCCGGGTCATTCGTACGCCATTTCCGAAAAGGGAATTGAGCACTCATTAGTATGTCCGACAAGTCCCCTTGTAACTTCATAGCTTCTTCTTTGGTCTTGGTACCCGTCAGCAAATCATCCATGTAAAAATCCTTTTCTATAACTTCTGCAGCCTCTGGGTAAACTTCTCTATTCAGATTTGCAAGTTCACGTAGGCACCGCATAGCTGAAAATGGAGCGCATGCAGTTCCGAACGTGACTGTCTTTAATGTGTATGCCTTAATCGGTTGAGACCTGTCCTTCCTCCAGAGAACTTGTTGTAGATGCCTATCCTCCTTCGCCACGTGGATTTGCCTGAACATCCGAGTTATGTCTGCAGTCAAAACGAATTCATGAGTACGAAAACGCATAAGCATCTCTAAAATGTCGCTTTGCAGATTAGGACCCGTCATTAATTTGTCATTTAATGACGTTCCCAACGATGAACTGAAAGATGCGTCTAATACGACCCTCAATTTGGTTGTCATGCTCTCCTTCCTGATCACTGGTTGATGTGGTAAGTAAAACGGATCAACCAGCTCTTCTTGGAAATTTTCAGTAAGGTACATATCTCCTGATTCCTCGTATTCTGACATGACACTAGTGTATGCTTCTTGTAACTCTGGCTGTTTCTGAAATTGCTTCTCTACCCCGATGAGTCTTCTTTTCGCGCCCTCAAAGGAATCTCCTAAAATGACATTGGATCTCTGCGGCAGCTTCACTATAAATCTTCCTTCCTGGTCTCGGATGTACGTATTTTTAAAGTGTTCCTCACACATTTCTTCTTCCTTGGTTTTTGAGCGAACGACCTCCAGCTCTTCTATCTTCCAGAATTTTTCCAATTGTCCCTCGAGTCCGGCCATGGTAATCACATTACTAGCTGACGTTATTCTTGGACGTATATTAGTGACGCATTCTCCACCTGCGATCCAACTAAAATGGGTATTCTGCAATGTGGGGCCATCCTTGCTTGAAATGATTTCTCCTGGAATTAATTAACACTTTCCAAAAAAGTCCCGCTCCAATCAAAACGTCTATGTCTCCCGGCTTGTCAAATTCCGGATCCGCAAGGCTGAGATGATGTGGGATCCTTAATTTCACTTGGGGAAGCTTGACCTGAGGTATTCGATCCGTTATCACTGGCAGGACTAAACATTCTTGCTTTGCTTTGTAGTTGGACGTTGTCGACGTCAATTGAATGTTGACAGATTTGTTTACGAGGACCCTTGCTTGATTGACCCCAACGACTGGATACTTGACTCCTGTGCTCGCAATTTGCAACCTTTTAACCAGGTCTTCCGTGATTAAATTTGATTGCGACCCAGGATCCAATAAAGCTCTGCAGCGATGCATTGCACCATTGACGTCGCTCACGTACACTTGAGCGGTAGAGAGAACGACTCTGGTGTACCTTCTTGGAGCACAATGATTGGCCGCTTGGCTCGTCTCTTCTTCCATGGTTCCACTGGACATCGCCTGTTCATTATCCCTTTCTTCTGACACTTGACTATGATGAGTGGCTACACTGTTTTGCTGATTGCTTGTTTCTTCTTTTTCCTTATCCGTACTGCCCTCCGAGTCTTTATGCAAGAGCGTATTATGCTTCTTGCTGCATTTCCTGCATGCCGAAGACCTGCATTCTCGACCGATGTGACCCTCTTTGAGGCAGTTTGTACACAGCTTTAATTGTCTGGCTTGCTGGTACCGCTCGTTCGGAGACAATTTTAGAAATTTATCGCATTTGAAGAGTAGATGTGACCTCTTGCACAATCCACACGAGGTTGTGGTCGCTGTCATAACGAGTTTTTTCTCTGCCTTCTTCGAATTTGCAGCTCCGGACTCGGTTTTGCCTTTTCCTCGGTCCGTCATCTCTAACATTGTGCATCTTTTCTCCAGGAAATCGGTCAAATCGTTCAAGGTAGCCATTGTATCTGTGGATTGGTGACCCACTTCCTTTTCCCATTCTTCTCTAGTCGCTTTATCTCATTTCTCAGAGATGATGTACACAACGATGGTATCCCAATGCTCCGTGGTTTCGTCGAGTGACTTGAGTGATCTGAGATGGGATTTAGTGTCATCGATGATATTTCTTAAGCTAGCATGACCTCCCTTGGCAACCTGCATATCAAACAATCCCTTTAAATGAGTGTTGATTATGAGCCTTTTATTCTCATATCTTTTCTTAAAAAATCCCCTGCAATTGTATAATTTGCGTCTGAGACTTCGAGGATTGCTATGATTTTCAATGCTCCGTCCCTCAACAATCTGTAGCAACTGAAACTTTTGAATGTCTGGTATATTCCTATCGTGCACTGCCTTGGTAAAAGAGTCCTTGAACATAAGCCATTCTCCGAAATCTCCTCCAAACGGTTTGATCGTCAATGGCGGTAGTTTGATTTTTAATGAAGCGTCGACGTGATCAACGTTCGCCCTTTGTAGGCTCGACTGAGAGCTTCCCGATTGATTAGGATTCCCGGTAGGTGCTGGTTGGAGTTTTCCTCTTGCTATCGACATCGCCTCGTAGTAGATTTTCTCATATTTGTCTGAGCTGTCTGCTTGCTGACTCAACAATGTCATAGGAATATTCTCTGTTTAACAGAAAAGTAAAAATACATGAATGTTTGCTCCTTAATAGAAATTATAACACATGAATATTCTCTGCTTTACAGAATAGTAAACACACACGATTATTCTGTGCTTAACATTAAAGTTAAAATACATGAATGTTCTTTCCTTTATAGAAATTATAATATATGAATGTTGTTTCCTTTAGAGAAATTATAACACATGAATATTGTCTGCTTTACAGAATAATAAACACACACGAATATTCTGTGCTTTACAGAAAAGTTAAAATACATGAATGTTCTTTCCTTTATCGAAATTATAAGACATGAATGTTCTTTCCTTTATCGAAATTGTATTTCGCGCCTCTTCCTCGAGATCAAGTTGTAGTAGCCTCTACTTTCCACCGATGTTGCCACAGTTTGTAAGTGTAGAATTTTTGTCTTCCGCTTGGCGTTTCTCATTCTTCTTCTTTGTGCCGAACCCGTCACATCAGAGAAATAAGTATCAGCAGAAAGTGTAAGATAATGTCGAGCAAAAGAAAGAAATACACAGCGAAGGATGGAGATAAGGAGAATGAGTTTACAAGAGAAATTAAACGGTTAAGAAAAGCTATTGAGCGGCAAAAGAAGGATCGATCAGATCGCTGTGGTAAGTCAGAAATAAGCACGCCGGTTCGATTAGAACGGCGGTGGTAAGTTGCTACGCCGAACGAACGTTGTCATGTGCAAACTAGCGGTCAGGCCGGTCCAACCGACAATTGACAATGCTAGCGCCGTACATAACCTCGCCATGCTGGTCCAACCAGCGTTGGTGGCAGTGCACATAACTTTGCCATGTCGGTCCAACCGACGTTGGTAAACAAAACCTTAAGTACGGTCCAACCGTATGTTGGCAACGATCGACGTGCATAATCCTATCAAGTCGGTCCAACTGACATAGAGCTAAAGTGCCTCTCACAGTCCAATTGTGTAGAGTCTTGCATGCCAGGATATTATACGACCTAAACGCGTAAACATCGTCATGACTTGGTTTCTGATGTCTGACACAACAGGTAATTCAAGAGAAGCCAAACGGAGACGACGATCGCACACGGATTCTCAAGGTGAGAACGATAGACACGATCGTGGCAAACGCGCTAGTAGATGCAGCGACAGAGGTGGAGGTGGAGGTTGTAAGATTCCTGGTCGAAATAGGATTTACAATCAGATTTTCATTATCGGAAAGAGGTGGGAGAGACGACCGAACGAATGGCCAGCGGGACTGAAGCATCCAGTATTAATCGAACATAAAGTTTATTTTATAATTATATCGCTTCGATTGTTTTACAATAAAGTTAAGTGTTCGGCGCAACGGGCCGCTCGGTCAGATATAATATAAATAGGTTACGAATACCGATCGCTGGTTTACGAAGGCCCGGAGAGGGTCCGGCGTGAAGTCAGTGAATACAAACAAAGCGCGACCTCGCGTACCGATCCGAGCAAGGACGGATATTACCGTTGGCGACGAGTCACTGCGGGCAGCGGTGAGCGAACGAAGATTTGTTATATATTAAGATCGCAACCGACTATCGTAGATTCCCCATAGAATGATATATTCGTTGCATCTTTGAATGCGAATATTCGGCGATGATTTTAGTTACTCATCTTGGCGGGGTATTTCCCACGTTGGCTCTTTCTCCTGCTTCAGGGCCCAGTGCCTCGCTGACTATGGTAAAGATCCGATAGCCGTCCTTTCCTTCACGGTCTTCCCTTCGTAATGAACCAGCTCTAAGATAGCCCTTTACTCGATTTCTCTCCTGTACTGGATCTCCGCTGGATCAACGATAGAAAGTGCGTGTGCCTCTGGCGAGGGCCCCGAAACGAAAGAGGCCGAGCATTCGCTCGATCGTTCGATCCCGGCCATTCGATCACCAAGCCTGCGCGTTCGTCACTTTCCCTTCCTTCTCGCTTATCGAGAGGAGGGATGACGTAGCGCTATCTTATAAGGTTATGACTACCGTGACAGACAAAGTTACCCTCACGACCGGCGGAGACGACATTCAGACCGCAGCTTCAGTCGTGAACGATATTTAAGCCAAGAGCGTAGTAAAAGCCCCAGTCAAGCTCGTAAGGACGACCACAGTAGATCGCAACGTGATCATAAATCAAGGGATAACTCAGTCTCAACGGTCGAATCCTCTGCATCCTCAAGTCACAGAGAGCTGCAGTCGTCGAGAGACGTCGATCCAATGGAGACGTCACCAACTGGCGACACCAACAAACAGGGCCAATCGAGTCAAATTACGCAGACAAATCTGATGGGCCAAACGGCCCAAGACGATCAGGGGGCTATGCCGGCTCAGGAACGAAATCAATCCGTAATTAAGTCCTCGTTGACAGGTACACAAAACGAAAAAGAACCAGATCTTGACCCGGATATTCTCCAGGCTATAGGGGAAAGGGTTCATCCGGACAGGAAGCTGGCACCGGCCATACATACAAAATTCGTAGCCGGAATAGAAGTAATTAAAAAAGGCCTCCCGATAGAAAAAAGGAAAGAATTAGTTAAAAAATTTTTATCACCCGAAAATTGTTTAAAGATGGATCCCCCTAAATTGAATCCAGAACTAAAAGCTTGCCTCCATGACACGATAACAAAAAGAGACAGCCGGATCGTGGAAAAGCAGTTAAGGACAACGACTGGCCTCGCTGGTCTGTTGGACGTACTGGTGAAAATTACAGGTCTTAAAGGTGAAGAAAAATTGCCAATCAAGGAAGTAACAGAGTCCTTGTGGGGAGTTCTGCAAATCATGGCAGATCTTCAACATGTGGAGTCCAGCATTCGTCGGAGCCTCATATTGAAAAATGTTAACCCATCAATGAAGGAGGCGCTTAATGCAACTTCTGTCGATGAGTGGCTCTTTGGAGAGAAACTGGAAGAAAAAGTGAAAGCGGCAAAAACTCTTGAAAATTCAAGCAAAAGTCTAAAATCTAGCACGAAGCAAAACCAAACGAGCCAGTCAAAAAATTCGAAACGCCCGCTCCATCGTCAGTCGTTCAAGTGGACTCGCACCTCGTTGTCGAGCGGGCGGAGGTCTTACCAACCACACCAGAAGCAGAAACATCCCAACCGGCAATCGACACAGCAAAAAGAGCCAGTCAATATCGAAGAAGGAAAATTAGCGGCCGTAAGTACTGTTACGTCCTGTGGACTCCACGATTTCTCTCTTTCAAAAAACCATAAGAAACATGTTTTTCTTCCCTTGGAAACTACAATTTTAGAAATCAGCGGATATCGACTAGCTAACGCACGAGTCCCCTCCCCACAAAAAATTGATTGCCAGAGTTTCACTTTTCGAAACTCGAAACGTAAAGTGCCCTGATTGTTGCTGGTCGATAGCCGTTGATATAATAAAAAGGGGAGAAATAACAGACAGGATGGGATCAGGCCCCTTCAGACGGCAGTTTCGAAATTGAGATTTCCAAAATATTATACTTAGGGGTAAAACCACTCTAGAGGCTGAAAAAAAGACCTAAATTTGACAATTTATTTTGGGAGTATGACAAACGGAATAGAATTTCTTTTCAGAGGGTTTATTTAACACATATTGAAGTACGAAAAACAATTTTTTTATTGTCATTTTCATACAAAATGGCGGCGACAGAGCCCGTAGTCGAAGACAGCTTTTTTTAAAACATCGCCATGGGAGGACGGATTTCTCGGCATGTATGAGTTCTGGAACAAAAAACAAAAAAAATTTATAATTTATATACAATTGGCGAGAGGGGGGTAAATATGGCGAGGAGAAAAGAGGCTGGTGAAAGAAAGTAGTGAGAAAAGTGTCGGAAGTGAGGTTTAAGGTGGAGTGTGAGGAAGGAGGAGGAAGTGAGAGTGAGAGGAACGGGAGAGGAACCAGAGGACATGGAGGCGAGAAGAATTAGCGGAAGGCGGAAGAGAAATCGACATGGAAAAGGTGAAACGGCATGAGTCGGCGATCTTGGAACAAGGAGGAAGGAGGAGAGAGGGGAGCAGAGGAGGGAGAACAGACATGGAGAGAGAAGAGGATTTGTGGAGAGAAGCGAGAGATCGAGAGCGGGTACGAGAGATCGACTGTGGAGAGCGAAAGGAGATTGGCTGGAGAGTTCGAGAGATCGATTCGGCAGGATGAGGTAGGGAGGGAGAGGAAAGTGTGAGGAGGAAGGGAAACAGAAGATCTCAGACGGGAGAAGAGAAGTGTGTTCGAGTTCGAGCAGTCGATTCAGCAGAAGAGGAGGTGGAAGGGAAAGGGGCTCGGGAGTACGGAAGGCGCACGAGAGGGGCAGGCAGTGCAGGTGGCAAAGCGAGCGGTAAGACCAAGAAAAGGCAGCGACAGAGGCGAA